TTGCTCTCTCTCAAATAAATAAAAATAAAACTTTTTAAAAAATGTAAAATGGGGGCACCCAGGTGACTCAGTCATTAGGCATCTGCCTTCAGCTCAGGTCATAATCCCAGGGTCCTGGGATCAAGCCCCACGTCGGGCTCCCTGCTCAGCGGAAAGCCTGCTTCTCCCTCTGCCACTCCCCCTGCTTGTGTTCCCTCTCTCGCTGTGTCTCTCTCTGTCAAATAAATAAAAAAATAAAATCTTAAAAAATAAAATTAAAAAAATGTAAAATGTCTTCTCTTCAAAAGACACTTTTAAAATAATGAGAAGATGTCATAGGCCAGGAGAAAATATTTGCAAATTATGTATCTGATCAAAGATTTGCATGCACAATATATTTTAAGACACACATACTCAAAACTCAGTAAGAAAATAACCAAACTAATTTTTTTTTCCACAGGCAAAATATCCAAACAGACACTTCACCAAAGAAGATACATTGTTGGTAAACAGGCAAATCAAGAGATGCTCAACCCTAGTAATGAGGAGATGCAAATTGAAAACACAATGTGATACCACTACCCTCCACCTACACTGGCTGGCATCAGTAAACATTGACTATACCACGTGATAGCAAGGATACTGAGCTCTCACACACTCCTGGTGAAAAATGTAAAATGGTACAAACCGCTTTGGAAAACAATTTGGCCATCTTGTACAAAATGTACACCTGACCTATAGTCCATCTATTCCATTCCTAGGTATTACCCGAGAGAAATGAGAATATCTGTCCAAAAACTTGTACATGAGTATTCATAACAGCTTTATTTGTGATAGCCAAAAACTGGGAAGAGATAACCACCAGTAGGTGAACAGATAAATAAATTGTAGTATATCATTATAGTGGAATACTACTTGGCAATAAAAAAGGAATACATTATTGATACCCTCAATAACATGAGTGAATCAAAATAGTTATGCTAGGTGGAAAAAAACAGACATAAAAGAGTATAATTCATACACCATTTACATTAAATTCTAGGATATGGAAACAAATCTATAGTGACAAAAGGCACTGTCCCTGGGGACAGTGAGACGGGGCAAAGAGGGAGGGGATCACGAAGGGGCACAAAGAAACTTTGGGGACTGACGGCTATGTTCATTGTCTTAATTGTGGTGATGGCTTCAGAAGTGCATACGTATGTCAAAACTACCAAATCATACACTTTAAACATGTTAATTGTGTATCAACTATATCTCAGTACTGTTAACAAACACATCATAAATAGTAAACAGACACAAAAATATAGATGGAAAATGTATGTACTAGTTTTATGATTACGCTGATGCATGGGACTCTGAAACTTTGAGCAGGTCTAAAGCAACTTGTTTACCTTCCTCCACGCTTCCTCTTTCTATACTGTTAATGAACGACCCCCCTCCCCCTCAGCCCCCCAAGCAAGAACCTTTGCCTCATCCCAGACTCTCCTCTCCTCCTCAGACTCTCGCCCTCGACACTAGAGCGCCACCACTCTACTCCAGGCACATTATTGTTTTCTCTCATTGTTTTTTCTCCCTCAAGCCTCACCCCCCAGCTACACCCCTCTACCGTCACCAAAGAGGTCTTTCGGAAACATAGAGAATTGATCATGCCATGCCCTTCAGTGGCTTTACATTCTCTTCAGGATACAGTCCTTCTCCGTGGCTAGAGCTGTCATGCCTTACTCAGCCAGGCCCTTACCAACGTCTCCTGGCTAAAAGTCTACCAACCAGCCTCCTCTTCCCATTCCCCAAGCCACTTCACATTCCCACTCTATTACTTGCAGCTTCCTGAATAGGGTGTGTCGTGTCATACCATCAAGCCTTTATTCAAGCTTCTCCCCTGCGGTTCCTGCCCCTCCAGAGAGCAGGGACCAAATCATACTGGCCTTTCTCACTCAGCACAGACCTGGAAAATACCGAAGCAGGCTACCCTGCTGTAAGGCAGCTTGCAAAAAGTCAATTTACAAAACTGACTCGTTTCTTTTCACCATTTCGTTTCAGGTGATTAGGTTTTCGTTTGTCTTCACAACACCATTTTCAGGAAAGCTTGATTTTGTCTGTTTCGCTTCCCTTTTTATTCATGAGAAGATATTCGTAAGAAGAAATCATTCACTGACGAGAGCAGATGCTCAGTAAGTTTATATTAAACAGATACCTGCTTCTGTTATCAAAAATGCAAAATTATGATTGGCCAAAAGAGTAAACGCAAGACAAGCATCTATTTCCCTAGAACAATGTCTGAGAAGGCTTTCCAAAGCTCAGGCTCATCCTCTGGTTTTCTTTTTCAGTTTCACAGAAGTGTTTACTTTACCCCAGGGCATAAACTCCGCAGTTTGTGAAACAAATTAACTGGAGCTAGCAACGGTTGGCTTCAGGTGGGAGAAAGTAAGAAGGAAAGCCCCGAATTAGGTGGGCGCTTGGGGAGGTTGATTGGATGTGTGCTCGTATGTGGCCACAAGGGGGTGCCAGCCACCTTGGTAAGCAGCCAAACCTGCGTGAGAGGCGCCCCGGGGCTCCCATCCGCCGTGTGGCCCACGTCCCTGAAAGATTATCTCTATGGACAGAAGCGTCTTGATTGACAGGTCTCTTCAGGGAAACAACAACTCCAAAAACAACTCAAATATACAACTAGATAGTTGTATATTTTCTAAGTGTTTCCCCTAGAACATTGCTTGGTTTGGCTTACAGCTATCATTACGTGTTCTCTAGCTATTTGAGGCGAGGAAACCGAATTGATGGGAAAACAGACATGGCTTAGGGGTTCCAGATGTCCAGATACGCTACAGTATCAGGCAAGGATTTATTCTAGTGCCTCACCATCAACTTCATTTGAAATAACGTTAAATTAAATCGGATAGCTAAAACAATGAATAGCACCTACACAGAGGAGCCAGGGTTAAAACAAACAAACAAACAAACAAAAAAGGAGAGAAACAGAATTCACTTAAAAAAACAAAACAAACAAAAACAAAAAGACAAAAAAACCAGGCTGAAAAGATCCCTGTCACCAGACACTGAAATTCGGGGAGCAGCTGGCTTGTTCTTTTAGACTCACTCTAGCCTATAGTGACTGACTTACATCGCATTATTTCCCCTATATCAAGTCCTTCAAGGGATATTCTCTTTCTCTTCAAATCTTTCAGCGGTGAAAATGCTCTTACTGGAGGGTAATAACAACTTAATAAGTTTTGGGGGAAATGAAATATAAAATTATATGATAATTCAGCTTAAATTTAAGAGACTCTACTACTTACTGTCTTTTTTTAAAGATTTTATTTATTTATTTATTTGAGATAGAGAGAGGGAGAGAGAGCGAGGGGGAGAACAATAGAGCGAGATCACGAGCAGAGGGGGAAAGGTAGAGGGAGAAGCAGACTCCCCGCTCAGCAGGGAGCCCAATGAGGTGGGGCTCGATCCAAGGACCCTGGGATCATCATGCCTGAGCTGAAGGCAGACACTTAACTGATTGATCCACCCAGGCACCCTACTATTCACTGTCTTAATAAGATGACCTCATAGGTCAAGATAGAAAAAGCCAAAGATAAGTCTAAGTTTCTTTCCCCAAGTTTAGGCAAGGGAACTGGCCCAGAGCATTCTCTCTCTTCTACAGAGGTACTGGTTTGTAATTCTTCTCACTGCACTTATTTGAATGGAATAGGAGAGTTTATGAAACACCATGCAACCCAAGTCTCAAACAAGGACATAACTTAAATACAAACTAACCAAAGAAAAGGAGAAGGAGTGTAAATTCTTTACCTAACTGATCAACTCACCCACATAAAATGCCACTGTGCTGTGATCTGCAACTCGAGATCCTGAGCACTTTTATGGACCACGAGGAAAAGACATCCTAGCTCTTAAGAAATAAAAATCCGAACCATGAGAGACGATGGACTCTGAGAAACAAACTGAGGGTTCTAGAGGGGAGGGGGTGGGGGGATGGGTTAGCCTGGTGATGGGTACTAAGGAGGGCACGTACTAAACTAGGTGTTATACACAAACAATGAATCATGGAACACTACATCAAAAACTAATGAAGTACTGTATGGTGATTAACATAACATAAAAAAAAAAGAAATAAAAATCTGCCTCTAACTGCCCAGAGTTTAAGTCTCAGTGACCATAATACCCCAGGGTAGGGAGCTTGTCTCCACCTGGCAACCCAAGGACCGCCATAATCATCACTGCTCCACCGTCTCACCTCCTGCAAGGTGCAAGCACAAGAGGCTGGGAAGGCATCGTTGGAACCCGAACAAGATCACAGAAAAGATCCACCATTCCCCACAGAGGCAAGTCAACTACTATTGCACTCATCCTGGCTTAATTGTTTTGCTTTGTTTTGTTTCATTTTTCTGCGCTGGTCTTTATTACTGTGGATGTTTATACAGAAGTTTGGTCACTTTTACCTTCCTAATGAATTCCCCATTGTTTATGGTGACCATGGCTATACCACAGCATCACATAATTTAAGTACCAAAGAAGACATACCGCCCTTTTTTAAAGTTTTTAAACTTTTGACTGAGACTATGCCTCAAAAAGGACATAACTATTTTTAAAAATTAGATAAATAACTAAGAAAAAAGTAATCTAACAGCCCTCATCAGTATGAGTAGGAAAGAAAGAAAGAAAGAGCGAGCCTAGAATAGTGTCTGGCAAACTTAAGAAATATTTATTAAGTAAGCTAATGAATCTCTTGGGAGATGGTAAGTAAATAGACATTGAGGATCATTCTGTGTCATTTTAGACCTTCAACATGTCTGAGGTGCCACTCTGTAAGAAATAATAAACAGAGTGGCATTATGAGTTATACATGCTTATTCAGTGCTGGTTCACTGACGATAAACTGTCCGTTTGGACCACAAGCAAACAATTTGAAAAGCCCCGTTTACTCACCCTTCAGTGTGGAGACAGCTTCCTACATGCTGGTTTCTAGGTAGGTTTCTAGGCTCAAACTCACCGTGTTTGCTGTGCATACTTACACAGCGGCTCAACTGCTGCCTAAGGCTATGAAGTTCTTCCACAAAATGTATTTCCCTGCAGACTTGTAACTGGAGTTGACCAAAAACATCTTCCATGAAGAAGGACAGAAGCTGTTCTTGGAATCTGCAGTTTTTCTGTAAATGACATATAAGAAATTGCCTAAGGTAAAGCACCAGTAACTTTTGTAAAATGTCGCTGAAATACCCGCCTGATTATTACTTAATGACCATCTGGAAAAATTAAAATGCAGGGGAGAAAGCATCAAGCAAGTAGAAAAACGAAAAAGACATAAACCCTCTGGCTTACCATAAATAGCTTTTTTGTTTTCTTTTTTAATAATCGTATATTTTTTATGTGGTCTTCCTACAATAAAACAAAGAGAACTAAGTTTCATCCAGAATGACAAATGTCTTTTTGGCCATCATTTTAAGCAGAGCCCAATACTTACTGGAATTGTTGCTTTGAGCCATGCTGCCTTGACGTACAGTGTGTCAACAGCTTGGGACAGTGTTCCCCTTGGGTAACAACCTTTCGCGGAGGAAGATGGTTTGTGCTTGGCAATGGCAAGAGACAGAGCGACAAACAGCAACCCAGACCTCCAAATGCAATCCACCTGCATTTCCCTCCACCCCACTCTGGGCTCGTGTCACTGTGGCAGCCAGAGAGTTTCTTGTGCTGGTGAGATGATCGGATAACCTACTTACTTGAGCTCTCAAGGCCACCTCTCCGATGAGATGCTGTGGTAGATAACTTACAGTGTACACAGAGGAAGATCACTTTGGTTGTTCTGTTTTTTTAGAGCTTGCTTCATAACCAAAACTACTTTGACCACACCATCTATGATGTTTAGAAAAAGCTCAAGCTTACTGGTAAAGGTTGGGGCCCCTTTTAAAAAAATATCAGAATTTCAGTTGCATATCACAACAGATTCATTATTTTTTAAAAGTCATGCCAAGCCAGTAAGAGACTGATCTCCAGGAGGCTATGTGATTTTTTTCTAATTCCCATATGGGAAAAACAAAACAAAACAAAAACCTCCTTTCTAACCAATATCCCACCCCCCCCCAAAAAAAATTAACTAAAGGTAGATTGGACAGCCCTGGGAAACCCGCTCATGATCTCATATGGGTGTTACATGTCTCCCTGGCCAAGCCCTTCACCCAGCTCCCCCCTCCCCTCAGGGATCACCATTCTTCAGCCAGCATCAAGACCCAAGAGAGGACTTTTCCAGTTTTTCTCAAGAATCTTTCCAGCTCAGAAATTGTAACCCCCCTAACATATTCAAGATTTGTTTGGCACAGGACCTGGGATTAAGGCTCACAGTTTAGTAAATTCTCTTATCATCTCTGTCCAAAACGACCACCCAGACTTCACCTCTAGCTCTAGACTTCGAATAGTGTGTACATTTCTTGAGGAAAGAGACCCAAACTTTCCATCTCTGAATCCTCAGCATCTCCCATGGTGCCTCCTCTAAAGAGGTACATCCAATATTAGTTGACTAAATACTTTCCACATCATGAAATGCTACTGTAACTGTAGTGTTTTTCAATTTATTCCATCAACAAATTTCTGTCAAGGCTCTGCTTATACAAAGACCAGTGCTAGATACTAGGGGGCTATAAAGGCAGGTGCTCCATGGAATCCTGTCCTCGGTTCTGTCCGGTTCTGTCTGTTCTCTCCTTATGGTGGTAGGTACGGTTCATTTGAGGTAGCAGCCCCAAGGAGAAGAGAACGTAGCCTAGAATCATATAATGAGAAGCAGAGACAGGCCACCAAAGCCTAGCAGGCATAGAGTTAATGTAGACCTGGGCAAGGCAATACTAGGAATCTGGGCATGAGCAAGAGGTGCCTCAAAATTCGGCAGAGTCGATTACAAGCATCAGAATCTAAGACTAATGTCTAAACCAAGACAACCAGGCTAGCAAAGGGGCAAGGAGAAAGTATGAATGAAAGGTCCAAACACGTGGGAATATTTCCTGCTGTTTCAAAAAGGAAGCAGATTTGGAAGGGCCCCAGCCTCATCTCCACAGGACCACCTCTGCTGATGAAGACTCAGCCTCTGAAGTGATATGAGAACTGTTTTACAAAGAGCTACAGCAGAAGACCGCTGCTTGGGAGTGCAAACGGGGGGGGGGAGTCACTGAAATTTTAGAAAAATTCAGGAAAAGGGAGAATTATTTTTAGCTGGGTGTAGCTTAAGCTTTAAGTTTGAACTGGGACATGAAATACCTTAAGGTGCATGCGTGTGTGTGTGTGTGTGTGTGTGTGTGTGTGTGTGTGTGTGTGTTTGAACTGAGTAAATGCCTATTATTCAAAATTCCTTTAGACAAAACAGCTGGAACACCAGGGGTCAAAAGCCCAAATGCCTTCAGAGGGTGTGGGATTAACATAAACACCCTGAGTGGGTGGATATAGGACAATTGGGACTAAATTGCTTATTTGGCCACCAAGCCTAAAAGCTGCCTATTAACACACTGAATGGGTGCACCGAAAGGACCATAGAAATACTTCCAGGAGCTATGTACTGCCTTGAGCAGCTAATTTGAGATCCCTGGTGTGTACCAACAAAACGTAAGTGCGACGCAAATAGCTAATATTGATAAATGAAATCAGTGTATGTTCTGTTTTTTAACTCCTGCTAGTTGCATTTACATCAATGTCTCATGTCTCTCCAACCATCATGACCCAAGGAAGATCATACACATCCCAAGGATGCCTCTGCTTTGGTTTACAACCGACTCAAGGGAACTGGTCATTTCCTTATGACTGAAAACTATATCACCCTGTTTATCATAGTGATCTTGTGCCTTAGTTGGTAGATCTGCCTCATTAGGGTTCTTCAAACAATCAAATCTGATCTCAAAGAATGAATAATGATTAATATAAAGATGATACTCAAAATTCAGGTCCTAAACACAATCCCAAAAGGGGGCTCCAAAAGTGTCCCAAATAACAGAAGAACCATTAGAATAAGTACATAATGTCCTTGGGGCACCAGTTTGAAACAAAGGCTCTGCTCATCTGGAGGTATTTTTATTACGTCACTTTCACAAGTTCCTTATACAGAACTATATAAAAATGGCTATTAATTACAAGGAGATTTGGTTTTGAAACTCAGATCCAACTATGCTATGAGTTGTAGAGCCATGGGAAAGTTATTAATCCTCTCTGAGCTTCAGTTTTTGTCATCATTCAAATGGTACAATAATTGTACTACTTCAGAGGGCTGTCATGAGCAACAAATAGGGTGATATAAGTAAAATGCTCAGCACAATACCAGCTATGGATGCACTCTGGAAGTGGTTTTACTATTGCATTATTATTTTTCAAATAATAAATGTGTCTCAGTCTGTCCAGGCACTATAACAAAATACCACAGACTGGATAGCTTATAAGCAACGGAAATGTATTTCTCACCATTCTGAAGGCCAGGCAGTCCAAGATCCACATGTCAGTATGGTCACACTCTGGTGAAGGCTCTCTTCTGGATTGCAGACAGCCAACCTCTCCCTGTATCCTCAAATGGTAGAGGGGCAAGGGATCTCTCTGGAACCTCTTTTATAAAGGCACGAATCCCATTCATGAGGACGCAGCCCTCATGGCCTACCCACCTCTCAGAGGCCCCATCTAATACCATCACCTTGGGGTTTAGGTTTCAACATACAAATCTGAGGAGGAGGGAGGCACAAACATTCAGACCATAGCAAAATGCATGTGCAATAAATACTCTGAATAATGTTGAAGTTTATCACAAGCTTTCAGAAGTTTGGAGAGATGGTTGAAGAGAGAAAAGTGAAGGATGCACAATGATCTGACAATATTTCAAACAGTATGTGGCATGAGGAAGTCAGTTTACCCCACACACATCCAGAAAGCAGACTAGGACCATTAGGTGGATATTTTAGGGCTGCCACTCCTACATAATGTATAGGAGAACATTAAAGCAATTGATCTGCCCAGAAGCATAATTGGCTACCCCAATTCTCAAATGCCGCCATGGCAGCCATTTCCCTTAAAATTCAGCTCTACCCCCACATACCCAAAAGAATGCTAGCTGCTCTTTCTGATGGTCAAGCATATCCAATGAGCAAAGGGAGGCTCATGCAGAGAATCACAGCTCACTTGGAGATCTCTGTGATTGCAACTTTGTATCTGCTCCTCTGTAGGAGGGGAAAACAAATCAAAACAAAACAAAAAAACCCAATTGGGATTCCTAAATTGTTAACCCATTTCGTGGACTCTAAGACACATTTGTGGTTTGGCTTTTTTCCCCCCCACATTTTAATATCTCTGAAATTACCACCTGTTTTATGATCCATAGAGTCTGATGATTACATCACCAAGTCAGCCCCTGGTGCAGTAGTCCCTTCCTGTGCAGTCCCTTCCAATCGTGCCCCTACTTGGAACTGTGTGTGGGGCTGTTACTACATGTGTTTTTAATTGCTATTCAAGTATCTTTAGAAAGATTGCACTATGATTCAGCAATGAAATAAAAGTTAATGTGTTCACAGAAAGTCACAGAACAACGGTGGGATGCAAATCTGCTATTAGAGAAGCAAATATTTATCTCTGGAAGAGTGACTAAAATTACATATTTTTTTACAACGCAACAACCGAGTGCTAAATGGTAAGAAAGCAAAGACTGATGAATCACTGAACTCTACCTCTGAAACTAATAATACACTACATGTTAATTAATTGAATTTATATTTTTAAAAATAAATAAAAATTGAAGGTCATTCTTATATCCCCCAGAAAATAAAAAGTATTTAATGCTTCAAACTATTTTCTAAATGATGCCCTTGTGTCCTCAATGCAATTGCAGCCCTTTAATAAGCTTCACTTAATAAATACAACTCCTAAGATTTGAGAGAGCTCATATAGCAGTTGCATGCAGGACTTATTTCCTAGGGCATGGATAACATACACTCAAAATTGTAATTTGTCATATATACTACAAATGTAATATACCATGACAATTTTTTCATGTAGATACCTAATTGTTCCAGTCACATTTGTTGACATGACTGTCATTTTCCCCATTGAATTTTCCTGGCGCTTTTGTTGAAAATCAATTAATTGTATATGTGTGAGTCTATTTCTGGATTCTCTTGGGTTCCATTCATCTATTTATACCAATGTTACACTATCTTGATGACTGTAGAGCTTCTTAGTAATTCTTGAAATCAAGTAGTGAAGTCTTCCAATATCCTTTTTCAGGATCATTTTGGCTCTTCTATATCCTTTGCAATTTCACATTAACTTTACAACCAGCTTGTAAATTCTTTTAAAATAATCCTACTGGAATTTTGACTGGATGGCCGTAACTTTAGAGAGGGTAGACATAATAATAATATAGAGGCTTCCAATCCATGAACAATTTACCATTCCATTTATTTAGATATGTAATTTCTCTATATAATATTTTGTAGTTTTCATTGTACAGGTTTTGCACATTTTTTGTTAAATTTATTTATTCCTAAGTAGTTTACACTTTGATTTTCTTGTAAATGGTATTATTTCTTAGTTTTATGTATGGCCCAGTAACATAAGATATATCTTGGTGAATGTTCAATGTGCACTTGTAAAGAATGTGTACTCTACAGGTATTGGATCATC